CAATAAATTTACAGGCGTTTCGAAAATTCTGTTTTCACTTTGTCATTATGGGGCACTGAGTGTAGATTGAGAAAAAAAAATGAATTTGAACGATTGTAGTATCAGGCTGCAACATAACAAAACTGAAAAAAGTGAAGGGGGTCTGAATACTTTCCGAATGCACTGTACATTTGTATTTAATGGACACTCCTCCCCTTGAATGTTCCATTAACTGAGGCTTTAGTGTAGGTAAAATCCAAGCACATTTTTCTTAACTGCAAACCACAGCTGGGACAATGCAGAGCAATTACCTGATACCTGAAATGAATAAATGAGCAAAGGATACAAGTGATTGGCGTCTGAAATTCTTCCAGACATACAGTACAGGATATCACCCCAGTATTCCGAGCTCTTTCCCTGGAACACAGAACCACATAATAACTGCAATTCAATACTATCATTATCAGCCTAAATTAATCCATTGCAGGATGAAGGTCTCTTCAATGAAGTTTATAGGTCATAATCTACCACATTGGTCCAGTGTTGTTGGCAGACAGATGTTTTTCAGCTTCACAGTCTAGCTGAGAAAGAGAGTAACTGGCCCAAAATCATCCAGTTGGCTTCCATGCTCAAGGGAGAACTAGAACCTGGGTTTCCCCGCTTTTAGTTCAGTGCCTTAACCATTACATCACACTGGCTCTGACATTATATATATGCATATACATATATATGTATATGTATAAACTGAAGATTAAAAAAGAAGAAACTTTAATATGGGTTTGCTCATACATATCTGTCTAGACACTGAACATTTTTTGATACATGTTGAATATGTGTCCACGGATTCATCTCAGCCAGAACGTGCCTATTAGAACTTAAAAAAAACCCCACCCTCAATATAGTCTTTCCTGCCATCCCATACCTGGGAATGAGAACGGAAGGTCTAACCTCTTAAAATATTTCCTCATTTGCTTTGACTGTTTCAGTTTTCCCTCTTTACTTCATGGCTTCTTTGAAAATTTCTAGTTTTTGTGGCTTTTTCCATTAAAATTTTTAAATGTCTCCTACAAATATTTCCTTTATATTATTGTGTATAGAACACTTTTCTTTGAACTGATGGCCTATATATGGGCTGGATTACAACTATTATGTTCCACAGGCAACATAGATTAGTCAAGAATGTAAAAGAAAAGGGAGAAGGGGACTGAGCCACCCTGTGCAATTTCCCTTAGCTCAGAGGCTACACTAACTTTGTTGAATATCTCCAAAAGTAGGCAGATGAACACAGAGTGCAGCCAATTTTGGGATGCAGGGTTTTAACGGAAGAAATGAGTGCCTTAAACTTAAACTTTCCCTCTAACA